TGACTTTTTTTATTGTCCGAATTCAGTCAGAATTCTGAGAAAAAAGTCAGAATTCTGACTTTTATTTCAGTTTAACATGGAAAAAAAGTCAGAATTCTGACTTTAATCTCAGAATTCTGACTTTAAAAGTCAGAATTCTGACTTTTTTCCCCATGTTAAACTGAAAAAAAATTTAAAAATCAATGAACTTTTTTCTTTTTCAGTGGCCCTAATCCTCTTCCATAGCCTTAAATACAAACAAAAGTGAAAACTTTTTTTCCCTACATTCTTCTTACAAATCATCCTGAACATACCATCTCTTAGGGTAATACATGGTGTTGGCTTCATCATGATGTGGGCGTTAGTTTTTTCCAGCAGGAACTGATTACAGTTAAAACAGAAAATATTTATGGTACGAAATGATGGAGAGTTTTAGAAACCTGTTAGATGCCTCAAAGGATTTCAAAGTCTGTATTGAGAGTTTTTTTAATAGAGAAAATCATCCGTTAATAATTCACACTATATTATTTAGCTGTATCAATAAATGCATTTAGCTTTCAATTGGTCCCCCTCAGGGTAAAATCTGTGGAAATACATTAAAGATTGCGGTTAATATATGAAAAATGTCAGGGGTGTTGATGCTTCTGCGGAGCCCTGTGTGCAGGCATGGACCCAGTTCTGCTGAGCTGTAGAGAGGACTCAGAATTTGATGTCTTGTCACCCAAAAACATCTTAAAGCTACAGATTACACTTGAGCTGAAACTATTTAGATGTCCTCTCTCCATTCTGTGCTAAACATGCGTCCTTATAATATAATTCATAAATCATATTTGATTAGATAAAGTTCCATTTAATTTTTTGGTCGCTTTCTATTTGTCCAAATTGGAGCTGACATCTTTGTTTCATTTCGGGGGTCGTTGCTCCCCTTCCTCCTGGGTTTTAAGATGTTATTGGTGACCCTAACGGACCCCAGTCTTCTGTGTATGGTGTATACCAAGTTCTGACAATCACACTCAGATGCACTGTGTTTGATTGTGGGGTGATGTGGACGGGGTTTTAACTCTGTCTCTCTCCCAATCCTCCAACTGTTGTCTTCTGGCCCCCCCTACAGGGAAGATGGTGAAAAAAGTCTGCCCCTGCAACCAGCTCTGTAGTAACTATCTCTCTTTTTGGTCTTTCCTCCCTCCATCCATTCCCCGTTTTGCTTGTTCTTGCCCTTTATTGAATCCAATTTGACTGCTGTCCAGATTTAGGATCAGATCAGTTCTGTTTTTTTGTTCCCATAACATCAGAGGATCTGTTTTGACCTTGAGTCTAAATAACTGAAATGATCCTTCATCACAGATTAAAACTGACACTGCATGCACCTGCAGGCTTCCCTGATATCCTCTGCCTCCATTCCCTTACCATGGCTTATAACCTGGACTGCACTGCCCAGAATCCCCTTCTGCAGCCATACATGACTCAGCATCGCCTCGTTTTTGTTTTCCTCCATTTTGTTTGACAGTTTTATTTATTAGACCAGCAGTATGATTCTCTTGCCCTGGCTCCCTGCATATGTTCTTATTTTAAACAAAGAGACCATATAATGTTTCTCCCTTTTGCTCATTCTGTCAGCATGGCTCAGAGTTCAAAATGTCTCCAAAGCTTTTTTTAAATGTTTAGATTTATTGATCCTTTCAGCGAATAGCTCATCTCTATATCCCTTATCATGATGACTATTAATAAGGTTGAGGGAGGTAACAGTGGATGCATTTTAGTTATTAAATTTGACACTACAGGTCTGGCAAAAGGTATATTTTCTGTTCCAATGGAGCTTGGAGGCCATCTACAGGTTGAATAAATAGCAGACAGTTACTTTTAGAAAATAGATTTAATGTTCAGACCTACAGTTAAAAAAAAAACAGTGTTCTGAACTTAAATTGGATGCACAAGCTTAAACTGAATGTGAATTTTCATCACAAGATCTCAATTATACACACATCCCAATGGTATTAAATATTGTTTAGCAAGCTGGAGAGAAACATTGCTTTGTTTTTTGTAACCATTAACTTGCTGTTGGCGTCGTCGTGGCTGGACATCTGACCACTCCTCCTAACTACAATGAGTGTTTTTATGATTGGTTATTTTCTGGCATAGTTTGAATCTCTTATCCGTCCTTCTGTTTCATTTCCCTGATCTATCCTGAAACCAGCTTATAGATATGAGTGCTTGTTTTATGTTATTGGACACCTAAACCTCTTCAAGGCACAATTTATCATAATATACAGTTCTGCAGTTTGGATGCAATTAAATGATTACAGCAATTGAAACACTTCAATTGCAAGTTCAAACACCGAAATCTACTTTTACTAAAATCCCTTCACAGCTTTTCATGGACTTAAGTAAATCTGAGTATCTGTGAATGAAGCATTGGTTGTAATTTAAACCTTTGTGATATAATTATTTCTCCCAAACCTGAGATATGCTGACGTTATAGCCTACTTCCACTGTACAAATGTTCAACTAATAACGATCTGGTTTAATTTTCTTGTGTCTCATACCCTAACCCTTAAAAGTTGATGTTCTCACACCAAAGAAATTTAAATTATCTGTCAAGCATGGCGGTGTTGGAATCATTCTATTGGTTTGTTTACTATTACCAGAGAGAAATGATATGGGATGAGGACTAACTACCTTAGATCAGTCATAATTGGTTTAAAATTTAAACCAAAAGGTTGTTCCAGCAGAAAAAATAATACCAGACACACAATATTTGCAGCTCCTTACCGGAAAACTTACCAATTCTAAAGAAAAACTAATAATTTAAGGGATGTTATGTTAGAATTACTGTCATCTACTGGTGAAATGGGGGTATTTTGCTCAAACGAACACTAAACCCTAGTGCTTCGCTGCTTTAAACACATATTAAGGCAACAGTAGCTGCAATGTGACAAAAGGCCTCGACAAAGCAGATGGAACCATGCCATCCAAAGTGAACTGAAACACGAACAAGCTGGCATTTTCTGCGACAAAGAGCTTTAGGAGCTTTAGGAGCTTCTAACCACACGTAAACCTACAATTCTCTATCGGCAAGAAACGAGGAAACAAGGAGAAACGTGGTTTAAAAATCTTTCTCCTTCATTAGCTCCTTCCACTTACAGGAAGCTTGCCTCTTTATCCAGTTTATTATTTTTCTCTGGTTTGTTGCCTTTAAGGTCCTCTTTTTCACTTTTATTGGAGATGGTGAAACGTTTCTTTTACTGCTGCTCCATGCATGTGATGCAGACTTTCATTTGCTGGGTTAGCGTCTCCAAATCATCTTCACCACAGCCTCTATCTCACTGTGCTGTGCGCGTGGGGGGACACTTTTTTATTCCACGCATTAGTGCTATTTTATCCCCACCAGCAGCTGTTCTTTCAAGACGGCAGACTGTGATGGCTCTTTGCCAACAGGGGACCAGCCTGATGTATAAACTAATATAAGATTCTTTGTTATTAAAAATGTATCTGATTAGTGCAGGCAATAATACACCAACAATAACACGCATGTAAATGCAGACATCGATTTTTTTGCACAATGTCCCTTTACCAACAACAGGTCAAATATACAGCTAAATTGGTGTCATTTGGTATGTTTCTCTTCACCTTGCGAAACATTATTTATTTAAACTTAAGCAGGTGTGTATGTATATTATTTCAGGCTGTATCCATTATTTTGCCCTAAACTGAAGCTTTCTTTTGATTCAGTTTTTGATTTAAACATTTAAATTGACATGATAATCTCCAGAATTAGTAGATAATGGCCTTCTAAGAGGTAAACAGTAGTTGTAATATTAGCTACCAGCCAGATTCAGGTTATTAAGATTTGTACTGAACTGCATTGAGCATTTTATCATAATACTTAAAGTATTTTTAAATTAAATTCTGATCTAAAACAATGGGTTTGTTCATGAGCTTCACCCAGATGACTTCATTCCCGTCTTCTCCGTCCGGTGTCTCAGTCTCACCCTCTCCTGCTTTCTGTCTCCCTGCAGGGACTAACAGCAGCAACGCAGTGAGCGGTTCAGAGGGGTTGGGTCAAAGTCAGGGGGGCTCTCAGTATCTGGCCCCCAACATGCCGGCCCCCCACCAGAGGAAAGGAACCTTCACCGATGACCTCCATAAACTGGTGGACAACTGGGCCAGAGATGCCATGAACCTCTCACAGGTTGGCAGCAGCAATTTTTCTTCTACGTGGCTCTCCACCCAGGGCGAAGTGATCTGTGGGTGGCTGTAGCGCTAAAAGCTAAAAGATCTGTTTTCTTAAGCTTATTTGCATCCTGTAATTGTGGAGCAGCACTCATTATGTTTTGCACCTGTTTTTTATTATGGGAAAATTTAGCTGGATAACAATCCTTTTAAGGAATTAATTCATTTTTAAGCTTAACATTAATATAAACTAAATCTGTATTTCTTAGATCTTAGTGTTAAAGATGTTGTTTATTAAAATATTTCCTGTTTTTTTTTTTTTACTGTGTTTATAAAGGAAGTTGTGGTTGGATATTATTCCACTGGAATAAAATAATAAAACTGACAACAGTTGTGTAAGGCGTGAATACTTTATTTATCTGAAGTGATGAAAGAAAACATCTAAAGTTTCAAAGTGAAAGGGATCGGTTGCTTATGCAAAGTGCAGACAGAAAGGGGTGTGAACGAAGTCTAAATATTGTGTCTTAAGCTTTTTGTTGTATAATTTAAAAGAAGATTATCAGCGTCAGCAAAATATCAAAATATTTGTGTCTTCTCTATCACTATGGTGCTCGTGATATTATTAAACTGTTTTATTAGTTCAGAAGATACCAAACAGAAGCTTGATGTAGGCATGCCCAACGTTAGTCCTCGAGGCCCGATGTCCTGCAGGTTTTAGAGGTTTTCCTGCTGCAGCACAGCTGATTTTTCAGGAGGATTTGGCTAAAATGCAAAAATCAGAATCAGCTGCGCTGAAGCAGAGAAACCTCTAAAACCTGCAGGACAGCGGACCGACTTTAGCCATGCCTGTGCTACAGCTTTATAGTGAAAATGAATGTGCATCAATAGTATCAGTGCTGCTGTTGATACATTGAAGGCTGTATTTATCCTTCTCAGGGTAAAAGAAGTGCCAAACAGCAACAGCAGCAGCAGCAGGCCCCGGCACAGGGACACAGCTATGAGGTTTGTGTAAAAACACACCCCACATACATACCTACAGTATATTGATTCACTTATTGTAGGGTAAAGTCTAAAAAAAAAAAAAAATGTCTCTGATTGTTTACGGCCTCCAACCATATTTTTACTCATGTAATAAAAGCTTAATTAGAGGTGCTTTAATGAACTGACTATGAATTAATATTTTGGGATCCTGAAACTTTTAGTTGATTTTATTGTAGAACCCTAATTATGCTTTCCTTATCTGATGCATGATTGCTTTCCTGGGGTATAAAAAGCTGGATAAACTTATTAAATTAGCTTTCTTAGATGCTAATATGCATTATCTAGGGTTTCAGGTTAAAAAGTATTTACACTGGTTTCATCGATGACTAAGACAAATTAGCATTTTAATGAGTTTCACAATTGTTCAAATTTTCGACATAAAAACCACTTAATTTATTTTAGCTTGCTGTAATATTATGGTTATTTGCTTCTTTTATTAAAAAAAGTCTGAGTGATAGTTGTTGATTCATATTATTGCGGCCTCTTGCAGGTTACCCAGTCTGCCAGCCTGGGCAGGAAGTATTCGGCTCCCGGCCAGCTTTGCCCCAGTAGCATCGGAGGCTCCGCCCAACTCCCTGCAAACCCCACCAGCGCTACCTCTCTGGCTGCCAGGAAAAGCTCCCTCTGCCACCCTCCAGCCTCCTCCCCTCTCCCCCAACTCCAGCCGCCGCAGTTTATCCACTATGTCCCCAGCGCCACCTACACCGCTCAGTGGTGCGGTCCAGCTCACAGCATGTCCAACCCACAGCAAGCACCAACGCAGCCTCTGTTGGTCAGCGCCTCTCAGCCGCTGGGGCCCTATCCCCCTCCACAGGGCCAGCTACCAGGACAGGGCCCCTTTCTGCTCTCCACCACCCTGCAGAAGTCCGTAAGCAGCCCAGGAGGGCCAAACTTGAGGACCACATAGGGGATGGCGTCAGGGCGGGTTTCACTGACCGACAGCCCGGTTGGACAAGTGCAAGGTGGCTTGTTTTGCAGCTAAAGGAGAAGAAGATGCACTGGAGTGGAGAAAAACCGATCATAAATATATATATATATATATATATATATATGGTGTGGTTGAGACACCATCCTTGCTTTGGGGTCATGACAGCCAAAAGATCAAACACAAAGAAAAGATATGTGTGTTATGTTATATGGTTAATATAGGCTTCCAAACCAGTTGCAGTGTTTGCTGGGTGCATCACAGTAAAGAAATATTAAAAAATGTCATTTATTTCAGTGCTTTCGTTCCAAAAAGTGAAACCCTTTATATAGATTCATTAAAAACTGGGTGAGATTCAAGCATTAATTTCTGCGTGGCTTAAATCAGGTCATTTTTAATATGACCTCAGAGCGATAAAAAAAAAAAAGAATTGAAATTCAAAGAAATAGTGCCTTGGCTTTGTTATGTCTTAAACAAAAATAACTTATTTTTTTCCTTCCCATAAACCTTCCATTGTTCATATGCTTGGATCAGCACTCTGTCACCAAACAGCATCTTCAGCATTGAGCTGCTGGGAAACGTAGTTTTTTCAGCTTTAATCCAAATTTATCAATATTAACAGAAATAACGAAGTAAAATATTTCATGAATCTATATAACAAGAGTGTCACATTTTGAATCAACTGAAGTGAATAGATTATTTTTCGGGATTCAATGATTTAGTCCCTAAAAGGAGAAAATCTAACAAATGCAGGTGTTTGCATACGAAGGTTTAATGTGTTTATCCCAAAAAGCACAAAAAAGGTCTCAAAATAAATGCATATCAAGAAGTTGTAGCTCAGCACTTGATGGGATTGTTGATTTATTTTCCTCTGATTAGTTATTTTAAAAAATAGGGAGAAAAAGATAAATATAAAGGCTGCTGATGGGGATTTTTAGTGTGTTAGCATCGGGTTCTGCTCGCCGCTTGGGCCAAACAGCCGCCGCTGCACTCCAGATGCCTCCTCACCGTCACGTGGTCCTTGTCTCATCCCTCTCACCTTCCTTTGTCGCCGTGTGAAGCAATAACAGCAGTAACCTTTTAGAGGGAGGGGGGAATATCGAGCTCAAAATGAGAAAATAAGTGGCCTTGTTATCAGAATAATGTCAGTCCTTGTACAGTTTGTGTCCATACTCAGTTCTCTGAATGTCTGCTTATGATGATTCCATTTTGGTGTTTATTATTATTTTTTTGTTTTTGTTGGGTTTGTTTTACTCGCTGCCCTACACAGACACACACACACTCACACAGAAAATGCACAAGACATTCACACACATGCACACGTGGCAGCAGTTTAACGGACGTAGCCTCACAGATGTATGCCTCATTTCTGACTGGGCTGGTTTCAACGTTTGGGTTGAAAATGATTGCAAATGTAAATTACTATATTAATGTTATTCTATTTAAGAAGAAACAAATACAAAAAAAAAAAGATGTGTTCTGTCAACGGACCTGTTATATGTGCACATCGCTGTACGATGTGAAGACACTGTGATTATAGATTATTCTTAGCAGAAATGTTGTTGGACACCATTAGTTTTAAGGGTGATGTGTCACAAAAAGCATCAGAAGGCAGCTCGGGGCTCCTTTCCTCTTCAGTTCTATAAGTTTTCATCACAATAAAAAGAAAAAACTAGGCATGGGTCAATTAAAATTAACAATTTCTCCAGTTAATTGTTCTGAGAAAGTAACAATTAACCAGAGTTTTACAGCGGCACAGCTCTGCCTCTCTCTTACTGGTTGCTGCACACTTCATGTCAGCTGGCTGAATAAATGCTAAAACACTTGTCTAACCATTAAAAAAATAAATATTTGGCTGTATTTTATCAGTCCCATAATTAATGTTACTTCCGTTTAGCCAAACTAGAAATAATTGCAATATAATAAAAATGTGTGAGGGGCAACATGTGGGGCAGAATTTCCTTTAATCGATGCTTAAACCACTCAAATACTTTATCTGGTGTATTTTTAGAGGGAATCCTAATGATGGTAATGGCATGGTGGCGGGATGGTGTTTTCGTTGGTTGATTCCTAACACCATAAAATATCGTCTGTGCGTCTTTGTAACTGGAAATGCATCTAAAGTTATATTTCTAGTCTGCAAGAAAAGATTTTTTCTTTAGTTTTCAGTCAGGCAACAGGCAGTCGGTGCAGGGGGTTACAGGGGAAACTCATCTGTTTTAGTCTAATTTGTCTACAGCCAGAGGAATCTGATCACTCTAGTTTAAAAAATCACATAAAATGTATTTTTTTGTTGTGGAGATGCAGCGCTTTGCTACTAAATGCTCACAAACTGCTCAAGAATACTTCAGTCATTCTGGTACTTTATATTAAAAAGACTTTAAAACATAGAAACTAAGAAGGAAGATTTCATTGCAGTTTTGAAACGACACATTTAACTGACCCCTGCCTAGTTAAAATACGTCCTTCTTTAACAAAAAAAAAACACTTCCTGTATCTGAATTCAAGTTAATATAACTATTCAAATCGAATGCCTTATTTCCAGCTGATCAGCTTCTCTGTTCAGCATCATTACTTATTGAACTGAGTGGAAATTGACCTCGATCCTGCATTCAAACAGCAGCATAGTTGACATTTAGATAAAAAGAAAGCTAGCTATTTTTTTTTTTTTTTTTTGATACAGTACTTCTATATCAGACACTTTAAACTCACCCTCCCGTTTCCCCCTTTTTGTGGATGAATGTGAATGTATAAACCAATGGTGTCCATTTTAATGTACTTGAAAAGAAAAAAAAAATCTCTTTTTTTTTTTATTTCTTTGCCCCTGATCTTAGAGCCTCTGGTTAAAAACCAGAGGAACTTCTAGTGCCTTGCATCCTTATTGTTGCCTGTTGGTTCTGGGTGGATGGTTTGGGTTGAAGGTGGCAGAAAGTGTGGATTTCCCTGAAACTGATGGTTCTGTTTTGAAGATGTTCTGATGGTTAATGAGGATCGTGTTCTCTGCTAAAGCGGAACTTATAAACGCTTCTGTTGAAGTTGGGTGAAAAGATCGTACGGTAAATCCGTCGTCATTCTGCCGCTGTTAAAGGTTAGAAAAGGCAACTGTTAATCGTCAGTGTTGTTTCTGTTGCTGTGTCTTCATTTTTAAGCAGGGGAGATGTTAAAGATTGTATCTGAAGCTTGGACCACTCTACTCTGTGAGTGCTGCATACCTCTCTTAAATTAAACCAGTAGTTTGACTTCATCTTGAATAACATCAAAAAAGTAACATATAATACAATAATTTAAATCTTAATAGCCTACATTGTTGAGCTGAGCTGTGGTTCTAAAAAAAAAAGGATGGAAGGAGCTGAAACTCTCACTTTCTTGCACATAACCGGACAGTGTTTGAGGTTTAGCAGCCAAACATCAATATAGCTGTGCAAACACTGCTTGTAAGTAAATTTGGAACAAATCTACAATCCAAAATTAACCAAGGAAATATTTTAAGAAACACGGTTACACCTGAATATTTTAGATTCACCTACAAAAGGTTCAGTGGTTATGCAAAACATAGATGCAGATATAGCGAATGGAAGCTGCTTAAAGTCTCACTTTGTTATACACAAGCTTCTGCGATGATAACTTAGCTGCAGTACATTAGGTTGCTGACAGAATTCATTTTGCACATTGATAAACAAAATCAGGCCAATGAAAGGTTTATTAAAATGGCAACTTTCAACATATTTTTCAAAAACAGTTGAAGCTTTGCTGTTCGATTGCTTTCTATCCTGTTAATTAGTTCTGTTAGTTTGGCTTAATTCACTGTTTTTTGTTATTTCACTATTAAAAGAAAACAATTTTCCTAGAATAATTTCCTTTAAAATCATCATTAAGTGGTTTTACTTACAGTTCAAACAAAAGAATGAATTTAAGAGTTTTTAGCCTGCTAAGATTTTACACCCAAATAAATCAGCATGACTCAGATGGTGGTGTGTGCAAACGATGCTGTCTTTGATAGTTTTGTTGCTAATGAATGCATTAAGATCCAAACTCTTATTAGAAATTTCAAATATATCTTGTACAAACTTAAAGGTTTGTATTATCTTTTCCCATCCTAATAAAATGTTTCTTTCCTGTGAAGTTTTAAGTTAAAGCTGTGAATGCTCACTGAGCCGATTTCCTGAAGATCTGTGGATCAACTCGTCCAGATCTGTAATGATAAAAGAATAATACTAATACCATGGCACAATCACATTTGTGCTCTTTTAAAGTAACCTCAAAGGTAAAAAAAATAAATAAATATTAAATAGATTTACCAGCTTGAAATAGAGGAGCATGTTTTGTTTTTTTCATGCGTTGCAGGAATGTTAATTGTGTCATTTGTTTAAACACACTTATTTTCAGGTTTCTGGTTTATTTTAGTCTAAAAGTGCTCTTATGGAAATATGTTTAGGTTTGCAAATAAAAGCACATATTTCCAAACTAGTACATTTCATTTTACCGCTTAAAAATAAGGTTTTGCTGGTTATAGCCCTACTTGAAAAACACACAAACGCTTTCCATCGTGTTTAGTTTTTCACCCTGATGCTCTCCTTTTATCGTCCCTTTTAAGTCTCACTTGTTTTATGTGCTGTTTTAAAGCATGTCTTTTGCACCGTGTTCATCGCTGTGCAAAAGTGGTTGAGTGAATAAAAAGAAACAGAATTACACAAGGAGTCTCAGAAGACTTACACACATCAGCAGCCTGGAGTGGTATGTTTTGCACCTAGTATAGTGTTCAAGCTTCAAATAACAAAAGAAGATTTGCGCTTTGTGCTAAAACACAATGGAATTTGTTACTTTATTTGTAAAAACTTAATAAAGTTGTTTAAATGAAATGAAGAGAAGAGATTTATTCAATGTGTGGGGGTTTTATTATTAGTTTTTTTTCATCATAGCTCTAACTACATGTCTCTATTATACCAGAGCATCCCTATGTATAATGAATATTTATTGTTTTCTTTACTAAAAACATTTTATTAACAAGGTTGTGTGATTGTAAAGGTATCATATTAACTGTGACTTTACAGTTATATTCAGGCTTATAGGTGAGTTGATGGTAAGTACGTCTAAGATTAACAAATGTATTAAAATTAAAAAGTCACAATATGCCAATTGGTTAAAACAACTTCTTTGTCAAACTAAACTCTGACATCTATTTTTGAATTGGACCATGGTATATTGTTTCTGTTATAGATTTATAATAAAACTTCAAAGGTATAGTATGAGATTAACTCTTTATTTTGACTCTGAGTCATAAATGAATTATTCAGAATGAGAATCTCAATTTTCAGAAATTTAAGAAAAAAGTTAGGTTTGAAATCAGGATTCTGATCTTTTTTTTTAAATACATTCCCACAGTCCTAAACATATAAAAAAAAAAAAAAAAGAGGAAATGTAAGTGTTTTAAAGCATTTAAGATTTTGTCATATTTAAAGCTATAATTTTAACCCTCTATAATATTTCAGTTCTGACGTGCAAATGAACAATTTCAGTTTAAAAGTCATGTATATTCCGCTTTAGAAGTCATTTTTTTCTTATTTTAATGGTAGAATGAGATCTATAAACATAGCTGTATTCTTTGAAGCCCTGAATATCAAATCCTCTGTCATAAATAAGTTTCAAATGTATTTTCTGACCAACCAACCAACCATACATATATTTTCTTGATCCTGCAGTTCTTTTAACTCCCAC